ATGGATAAATAGTCCGGGTTCATGCACTCCTATGTTTCAATTATTGGTGAAGGACATAGTTTCTCTTATGGCAGGGAAGGATATCATTATCAGGCACATTTTGAGGGCTGCAAATTGGGAAGCTAACAAATTAGCTAAAGATGGGATAGGGTGATGTTATGGTTTCTGTCTGTTTCGGTTGAGGTGTACAAAATTTACTTCCTTGGTTGTAATTACTGGTGGTGTTAGCAGATGTTCAGGGTCTGCCTTGGTTGTAATATTATTTTATCTAATAAATTTTTAGGCACTCTTTTCCTCCTTTCTTTCTCCTTCATGTTACTTTCATAACATGGAGGGTGAAAAAGGGATTTTTAATGAGGCCTAATCTTCTATCAAAAAAAAAATAATACCGAACATAAAACAGACTATATGCCTGCTTGTGCTTCTGGTTGCACCAAAGCTGCAATCGCAAGCGATGCTGTTGTAAATGTCACTTCTCCTACAGGTTCCCCACATGTCATTGATGCCAACAGATCAGTCACTAGGTTCCTTCACACAGAACATGGATCACATTCACCTCCCAGTCACGCTACAACAGTGCCCTTTCGTTTATAATCCGGACAGCTTCCACACTATCAGTCTCCACCTCAACCTTCTTAAACCCAGCCACCATGCATGCTCCAACACGTCGTGCACAGCCCATAACTCTGCCGTGACCACTGAGCAATTACCTAAGCTTCTAGATAACCCAAAAATCCATTCGCCATGATCAGCTCGAATGACATCTCCCTTTGCTGTGGCACCATCGCTGCCCCACTTCCCTGTCTGAATTAGCCTTGACCCATCCAAACGGCGTCCTTTTCCACACTACCAACCCTCTAACTGGAGTAGCATATAAAGAGTCATTCACCAACCCAACTGTCTTCTCCCTCAATATCTTCTCTTTCAAACGAAGGCTGCAGTCCAATATGCTATCCATCTCCATTCTATACAAAATAGTCATCGAATAAGCACTTATTTCTACTTAACCATAGATTCCCGCAAATGACTGAAAACAGGTACCCCAATCCTTCTCATCAATCCCAAACAAGCTTGGTTGTCATAGAAATGTTGCTGCCATTTGTTAACTTTCCTTTACAGGTTTTGCTTTGTTTATTTTAACTTCTCATCTCAACTAATATATTTTTTTTGATAAGAAGTGGATGCCTCGTTAAAAAAAACCCTTCATGATTAAAGGATCGCCAATAGGTGCTCCTTAATCAGCTGAAGGAGGAAAAGAGTGCCACAAAATTCATTAATAACTAAAAAGTTACATAATGTTAGAAAAAACGGCCAAAACCCCCCTTACAATGAACAACCCGAAACACTCAAACAAACATCCTAAACAAAACATAAAACTAACCAATACCAGCCTTAGCTAAGGTATCAACCTCTATATTAGCTGTTCTAGCAACCCATCTAATCACACCCTCCATTTCTCTTAACTGAGTAGCAATGTCCTTCACTACATTAACATAAACAAAAGGACAACTATCTAAATTCATAACCCATTCCACTGCTAGTTTACTATCAGTTTCAACAATCAAACGATTGTTGGACCTCTGAAGAAGAGAATGGAAGAAAATTAAACCCTTTTTAATGGCTTTAAGCTCTATCAAAGTAGGAGGACCTGAACCAGAAGCCTCTTGGAAAGAACTCATCAACGTAACAACCTCATCTCTTAATAAACTGCCTATACCGTTTTTTCGCCAATCACCACTCAAAGCTACATCCACATTCAATTTTAGAAAGCCCTTTGGAGTAGGAAGCCAAGGCACAATATTTAGAATCGAATTCCTGGATGAAGAGCATAAATCTCCAATAGAGGGATCAGTAATGAGAGAGTCCTTAGAAATAGATGCATCCTTAAGTATTTAAAAATAAACATCAGCAATGATGTGGCACATAATTGTTTTATTAACGTGTTTATTAACAGAGGGATCTGATTGATTTACATTGATAGTATGGGGTTGAAGTTGGTACGTTTTAAAGTTTGGGGAGCACTTAAAAATGAGAGTCATAGTTTGGGGATGACTGGGGCATGTAACTCTTGTAAAATTCAGGTAGTAGAAGTGGGAATTTCTGGAGGGACTGCCTTTGCGTCTAGTACTGGTTGTATCAGGTGTGCCGGCTATGTCATGATTGAAACTCTTCTTAAAGTTACATGTCATCACTATTAAATATAGACACCAGGCAACAGAGAATGTGATTATAATGGGAAGCAATTGAAGGGGTGAGAGAGAGAGGCAACATGAAAAGGACTAACATACAAAGTAAGGATTTGAATCTGGTGGAAAAGGAGAATTGTGAGACGTAAATTAAGATGAAAATATTTTATGCTTATTGAGATTTCTTTAATTCTTGATTATCATTCATTATCAAACATGTTTTCTTTTCCATTGGATATGGATGATTAATCAACTTCAAGACATTGATTAAATTTTTTGGCATTGCTTCTGAAACCTAGTTATGCTTGTTGCTTCTTGCTTGTTTGAGAATATTTATATAACAGTATTCCCTTTTAAATGTCCCCTTATTAGTAGTAGTAGCATGAAAGCGTTGTCTGTAAAAATGTTATGATACCTTACGAGCTGTGTGAGCTTCCTTCTTATGCTGCCCCTGCCGGGGTATATGTTGCTTGTGTGTTTTCTTCTGTATGCAGCATCTAGGGTGGATCCTTTGCACCTTGAGTATTTCAGATTTGCTGGCCGTGTGATTGCATTGGCGTTGATGCATAAAGTGCAAGTTGGTGTTGTCTTTGATCGTGTATTTTTCCGACAACTGGCTGGAATGCATATATCATTGGAAGATATACAAGAGGCAGATCCATGCTTGTATATCAGCTGCAAGAAGATTCTGGAGATGGATGCTGAGTTTATTGATTCGGATGTTTTAGGACTGACATTTGTCAGAGGGGTTGAGGAGTTAGGATCCAGGAAAGTTGTTGAGCTTTGTGATGATGGGAAAAACATTGTTGTAAATAGCAGGAATAGGCAGGAATATGTTAATCTTCTTATTCGGGACCGCTTTGTAACATCTATTTCTGAACAGGTAGATCAATTTTCCCAAGGCTTTGGCCATATTCTTTCTAACTCTAGGCTCCAGAAGTTCTTTTTTCAAAGTTTAAAACTTGAGGACCTTGATTGGATGCTATATGGAAGCGAAAGTCCTATTTGTGTTGAAGACTGGAAGGCACATACAGAGTACAACGGCTACTCAGAAAATGATACTCAAATAACCTGGTTCTGGGAGGTACGGACACACAAGATTGTATTTAATCATGTTAAGGTCTTGGTATTATTTTTTTAATGGAAAAGAAAAGAAGAGAGAATCAGTTTCTTTCTATTTGTTTTTCATACTCCTCACCACATAACTGTAGTCTTGTTATAAGAACAGAGATCTCATGGATCAAGGATGAATATAGCTTAAAACACACAGGATTGTATTAAATCATGCTAAGGTCTTGATATATACACACATATGTATAGTATATTTACATTTATATTGATATGCTCCTTATCACATATTTCTAGTCTTGTTTTAAAAACAGGGATCCTTTGGAACAAGGGTGAATATATCTTAAATTAAAGATACATTGGCAATAATGATATAACTAGTTAGAATATTGCATCTCCACCCTTTACATCTGCACTGCCTTTTCGATGGCTTGATTTGTCGCAACTCAATCTGGGTCTGCGTATTGTCAGTAGATTCTTACATCTTGTAGTTAATAATCTGAACTGATCTAGAATAGTGGTTGCGAAACAATAATGTTCTCAAATTTTATGAGCCGATCCTCAAGAAGTAGATGGTGCATGATTCTTCAGCCGTGAAAAGTTTCTCAACAATGATGAAATTGTTGTTAGATTATTGTTTTAGTTTTTAGCTTTTGTCTGCTTGGAGAATGCATAATTAGTAGTATCAGATTATTTAAGCTTTTGTCTGCTTATAGAATTCATAATAAAGCTTTTGTCTCCCTTATAGTTCACTCTCGAGATTTTCAAAAATATTGCAGATTGTTGGGGAAATGTCAGCAGAGAAAAGAAAGATACTTCTTTTCTTTTGGACCTCCTTGAAGCATCTTCCGGTCGAAGGTTTCTGTGGTTTAGCCACTCAGCTCTATATTTATAAGTCCTCAGAGCCCCAAGAGCGTCTCCCTTCTTCTCATACCTGCTTTTACAGGTTGTGTTTCCCGCCGTATCCCTCCAAGGTTGAAATGCAAAAACGGCTCGACATTATTACTCAGGAACATGTCGGCTGCAGCTTTGGTACCTGGTAGCAAGAAAATATGAACTACATCTGCATTTGGGGGTTAAAAAAAATAAAAGGCGGCTTTTTGACATACAGAAAAATTTGGTACTCAGCTTTGTACAGGTTTATAGTTTCATTGTCATCTGCTTTATAATTAGACTATGTAAGAAGGTGAAGTAGTTAAATTGTCTTTCCTTCATGAGCTGTCATTGCTTTTTTTTTTTGGGACAACTGTTTTCTATAGATATAGAATTGCATGAATAAGGCAGGGGGCAAATTGGAAGGATTGCTCACTTCCATGGGCTTCTTTGGTATCTGCTTTCATGTAATTACACAGTTGTGCAATGACATCTAGACTCACCAGAAATCCTCTAATTAGTGTTTTCTAATTGCATAGTTTGCTCTTTTGTTTCCTGTATTATCTTCCATGTTTGTTTTACGATTTATGAACACCAATATTCTAGGCCTCAATTTCATGGACGAATATAAGTGCATCATGAAATCTAAATTTCTTTCTGTTATCTATTTTATTGACGGTGTTCACTTGAAATTTTATTTTTGCCTATCTCACACAAATTTATGTTATTAATGTATTTATCCACCCTAAAAAATATTTTTGGTTAAATTGTTCCTTGTAATGTCTTATAAGTTGGAGTTTAAATTCTCTTTATGCTTTTATCATTGCACCAACACTTGTTAAACACAAAAATATATGTTTATTATGCCAGATATAGAGATAAACATCTCATCTCATCACACAAAATATCACTCATCATAATTCGGAACCAAAACAATGTCTCCATACATACATCCATACCACTCAATATGTAAAACCCCTGGTTTCTTCCCCCAACATGGAATGGCACGTTTAATACTAACATCAAACCCCAAAGAAAGAGAAAAAGACAATAACAAAAGGAAAACTATAATCGTCCCACATACTACATAGTTATTATAATTGATACGATGACTATACCAACATATTCCATGCAAGCTATAAAAAAGAAACTCCTTTTAAACTATGCCACCTTTCGCAAAATGGTCGCTCTATTCCTCAACTTTCTCAACGGGAACTTCTTCACCCTTTTCCTCAGCCTGTTTCTCCTCTCCTGCTGAAGTATCAGCCGGTTCTTTTGTAGTCTCGACTTTGGCCTCCTCCGTAACTGCTTCAGGCTTCACCTCGGGTGTCTCTTCCTTTGTCTCCTCTTGTGCTGGCTTAGCTTCCTCTTCAACCTTGGTTTCTTCTTCTACAACTTCTTTGGTATCGGCTTCGGGAGCCGTGCTTTCCTCCACAGCTGGCGGAGCATCTGATGTCGTCACCACCTCGTCCACGACGGGTGCAGCGGTTGGCTCGTCTTTCGGTGTTTTCTCCTCAACCTTGGTTATCTCTGGTGGTGTAGTCTCGTTCTCTACCAATTTTGCGGCAGCTGATTGAACCTGAAAAAAAAAACATGAAAACGCCTTCATTCTTGGATCAAGTTTATGAAAATATTTAATTTGACATGGACATAATTGAAGCCAATGATCAAGTAAAGATATCAAAGTTATAGTTTGGTTACCTCAACATCAACACTGGCCATTTGGGAATAAGAAGCTTGAAGAAAAGATTGAAACGAATGAATGAAATGTAAGAGATTATAGAGATGAGGAAAGAGCTGTGTGTTGTGAAATGAGGTGATGAATGTGAGAGGTATATATAGAGGTGTAAAAGGTGTATTTGAATTAAAGCATTAGAGAGAGAGAGATGAAGGGCATTGATAGAATCTCTTTTCAATTTGGCACCTCATGTTAGTGACACTCGGGACATTACACCGTTGTCTAGTTGTAAATTATTCAACTTTTCTCTCTCTCTCTCTCTCTCTCTCTCTCTCGATAAAGTAGTATCTTTAATTAGGAGAGATTTGTAAGGTATAAATCAACTTAGATATGAATGGCTGATGTCAAACGGTGGAGCCTCATTTCTCGTATCAGCGTTAGAATTATGGGTCAATGAAATTTGATTTAAAAAGTTGATTCTTTTAATTCGATTTGAATTAAAAAGATTTGACTCAAATTGACTTGACCTGTAATGTTATAAATTCGATTTGAATCTTTAAAGTTGATTACATGTTCTTATCCTATCTATATAATTTTTACAAGTTCTGATGGCGTAGACGTGACCCCACCCAAATAAAAAGAAAACACCAACACCACAACATGGACGGTGGCAAAGCATGGACCTACGTTAGACAACTGAGATCATTGTCACCACTCCCCACCCCCATGATTCACACCGTTCCCCTTTGGGACGGACGTAAAATTGTTCCTATTCGTTCACTTTCGGTCCATCTTTAGATCTTACGACTCCGATACTCTCCAGGTCGGCCTTTATCCAAACTTGTCCTTCTCTATCGCATCCTCTATGTCTAAAAATTCTGGTAGTATAATGATGCATCGAGATTCGATTCATGATCGTATAACAGGGTTCAATGTTTTGAAATTAATGCATCGCAATTCATTGGTTTCAAAAACCTTTAGCATATAGTATTCAGAATTATTCTGTAAAGCCAAAAGAAACACGATAATTGAAAAGGTTTTTAAGACAGCGATGAGAGGATGGTGTCCCAAAGCAAATGGACCCACCAAAGAGTTTCAGCTGTTCTACACACACTGCACCTGGCATTCATGTAATTAAATTTTGGGTAAAGTATATAGATGGTCCCTTGACTATAGGATAATGATCTGTTGAGTCTCTCGACCATTAAAAATTGCAAAATGGTCCCCCACTAGAGGGAGTTATTCTGTTGAGTCAATCGACTGTTAAAGTTACAAAATGGTCACTCGACTATTCATTATGTTTCAAACTAATCCTTTTCCTTTAAAAAAATTAGCGATAGTCTGAGTTGAACATTAACTACTGATTGAGATATGATAAAATCTGATATTATAATCTCAAACGACTATCATATCTCAATTAACATGTTAACCTCCAACTCAGATGACCGTTAATTTTTTAACAGAAAATGATGAGCTTGGAACATAATGAATAATCGGGTGACCATGTTGTAACTTTTAATAGTTGAGGGACTCAACAAAACAACTCTATATAATCGAAGAATCATTTTATAACTTTTAATAGCCGAAAGATTTGACAAAGCATTATCATATAATTAAGGGACCAATTATATACTATACCCCTTAAATTTTAGATTTGATCGTAAGGTATTTTCTTTTTTTTCACATATTCAAAAATTTAATACAACGTATGGGGAGACAATTCTCATATCTTTGTGTTCTAAAGATAAGAATAATGATAGAGTGTACAAATTTTATATAGAATGAAGAAGAGATATCTTAAAACTTAAAAATGATGTCATTGCACATTTTATCATATATGTCTTTTGAGAAAAAAATTATCGAACGTATATCTTTAGAAGAGAAAAACGACTCCTCTAGCGAGAGATATAAAAACAATCATTTGACTACTCGATTTTAGATTGAGCCTTGATGGGTGGAGTAAAGTAGGAAGAATCAATTGTAGATGCATGTATGTGTTCCAATGAGTAGAGTAAAACATGATGAATAAATCGTGAATACACATGAGATTGAATGGTGAAGAATGTCACGTAACAATATATGAGAATGACAAATACATGTGACGTTACATATCTCATTAAACATGTTTATTGGAAAGAGATAATAGTCACTAGACTTAACAATATACCCCTTTGGTGAGATCATATAATTATTTTGCTTTGAAGTTTTTATTTTTTTAGTATAATCTTCAATGTGATTCATTAATGAATTCTAAATTAGATATCATAAAACTATTATTTTTTTTCAAATCAATTTATTTTATTTATGATATCAAAATTCGAACTTTAAACATTAATTAAACTTCAACGATGATATTAAGTTGTTTTCATTGGTACAGGGCAGTCAAGAGGTTGTTAATATTCCCTAAGATTCTTCTTATGAATCAAACTATTGTCCCTGGTCTCACCTGTCCCATCATTCATCGACATCAGTAATAAGGTGAGTAAAATTCGATTTAATTCGATCGAATGCTCACCTCGAATTAATATCATCAATGCTCTAAGCTAATGGCAGGCAACATACTTTTCTTAGTCGTTAATATTTTGAAAACCAAATCTTAACAATGAAATTAGAAATGGTCGGGCAAGGGTGGCCCCATATAATGGAATTATGACCATTAACCTTTTTGAACCACTCAACGATCGGCAAGAAGGTAGGCATACTACAGACCACCTCCTTTCACTTCTTTTGTGGAGGAGACATTTTCCCCCTTTTAGAGTGCGTTATTTACTCCTTTTTGTTTGATCAACAAAAATATTAATTTTAGTATTGATTGTTGATTGTATGTATTCTCTTTTTTCCTTTACTTTATTATATTATATTTTTGTTTCTCTTTTATTTTCTTTAATTTTTAGTATCTCTATCTTTATGACATATTTTTTCTATTTTTGGTATGTTTTCGATTTTTTTATTAGTTGTTTGGCCTTTTCTTCGTTTATTTTATCTTAGGTTAGATTTGACGTAGTATCAACTGATCAAGTTAATACTTATTTGTTATTCTGCTGCTCTTTCCAACTTTGGACCCTCAGATCGCGTTAGTGGATAGTTTTCTCACGTCACTCGACTTTAATTTGTGATTCATCGATGATTTTCAATAGTTTTATCTCCTTTTATGATTTGTTTGTCGATGTAGTTAAATATGTTTGTATCTTTTGTTGCCATTTTTTTTTTGGATTTTTAACTTTTTTCCTATATTATCCTTGTATAATCTCAAGTGATTAATTTTTTGTATCAATAATTATAGAGAAATATCCTAATTATATGTTTATAGTTTATAATTATGATTAGGGTAAAGTATAGTAATGGTCACTAAATATTTCTGAAGCTTGCATTTAGGTCCCTCAACTTTTAAAACTTGCAATACAGTCCCCCAATATTTATTCCGTTTGCAATATGGTCCCCCAACTTAAACCACCGTTAAAAAATTAGGGTAAATTATATAAATGGTCATTGAACTTTTCAGGCACTTGAATTTAGGTCCTCAACTTTTAAAACTTGCAAAACAATCCTCAATTTCATTCTAAACCCCAAATTCCAAAATAATTCAATTTCACTCTAAACTCTAAATTCTAAAATAATTCAATTAAATTCTAAACCCCAAATTCTAAAATACTTCAATTTAAGGTTTAGAATGTAATTGAATTATTTTGGAATTTAGGATTTAGAATGAAATTAAGGTGTTTTGAAATTTTGAACATGAATTTACTATTTGACAGTATCATGTTCGTGTCGCCAGAAATTTTCCATCATTTCGGTTGAGCAAAAACCATAAATGAAAATTTGGAACATTAATTGCAAACTTCTAACCATCAGTACTGTTACAACAGGGTATATTTTGTAAACAAATCACTTGTTGGGCTTCAAGAGTAAAACGCCAAGCCACAACCTAAGTGATGAGAATATGATAATACAGCTTGGAAGTAAATGTAATAAGCAAAATACATAAACAAATACATATGTGAGATTATATGAGAAGTTCTAAATCTGAACATTGCTTTTGAAAGACTGACTGAATTGCCAATTTGAAGGCACCACATTAAGTGCAGTTCGAGTCTTGCCATTACTGACTTGGACCCTGAAAGATAAGGTCTGACCATTTAGGTAGCTTAAGCTTTGCCAATTGGCACCCCAGCTCCTCAACATGCTTTCCCATTTATTGGTTTTGGAACCCTTTACCATACCTTTGAAATCTCTCCAGCACCCCCAATGTTTGATATCAGCACCAACTCAAAATAATTCCTTCCATTGATGGTGAATCTCATGCCTCCCTTTCTCCTGCATGTAACCCTGGAAAACAAATTATTCAGATTTGCAATGGTCAAACAGTGCTTAGTATTCAAGTTCTTTTTTTATTCTTCTTTTTTTATGGCAGAATGAGAACAGTGGACATACCTCCTGTAGAGGATTGGTACAATTCCAGCCCGATATTTTGCTATGGTCTCGAATGTGGGTTGAGCCATGTCGAAGTGTGGTCGGGGTGGATTACACCAACCACCATTGTTATTCGGTAGTGTGTAATTCGGAGGGCAGAAGTTGGTGGCGGTGATGGTAATGTATTTACCCTTGAGACACCATTGGGGTACCTTTTTTGCATCGCAAGTTATCTGATAGCAGTCTCCACATGACTTGCCGTCGTTAAACAAAACTGTGCTGAGTGCGGCCGTGTTTGTTCCATAACCGTCTGTGTAGAGATTGTCATAACCACAAGCTCCACCTGCAAAAACCAACATATTCAATGAAATCAACCAAAAATAAGAAACTTACCCATTGTGCCGGAAGCATCACTTCCACCATAGAATGTTACATGTGCTAAGAGCCAAGTATGAGATGCATCTGCTACATGAAATTTAGGGGGGAAATAAAAACACACAATGAGAATAGCAGTAGTAAATAGATAGGAACTCTTCATTTTCTTTTTCCTTTTACGTTGGAGAATGTAAGCGAATGATGAGTTTGATGCCACAGATTCATTTTGCCTAGATATTTATAATCAGTGATAGACCCTGCTAATAGCTTATGAAAAATTATTGATAGAGTTTTTAAATATTATGTTATTATCCTTATTCCTTAAATGATAGAATAAATCATCGTAATTCATAATG